CCTTGGAGGATTTTGAGCATAACCTTGCTAGCGTGTGAAATGAGTGCAATTGTACGGTAGTTGGAGCATTCTTTGGCACTGCCCTTCTTTGGGATTGGGATGTAGACTGATCTTTTCCAGTCCTCTGGCCACTGTTGAGTTTTCCAAACTTGTTGGCATATTGAATGTAGCACTTTAACAGCGCCATCTTTTAAGATTTTAAATAGTTCCACTGGAATGTCATCACCTCCACTGGCTTTGTTGTTAGACAAGCTTTCTAAGGCCCACTTGACCTCACTCTCCAGGATGTCTGGCTCTAGGTCAGCAACCACACTATCTGAGTTGTCCGGGATATCCAAATCTTTCTGGTATATTTCCTCTATGTATTCTTGTACTGTTTATACCAGTGAACATCTATCTCATGGTGGTTTTGAATACCTTGGCAGTTCTACTTCTATGGTTAAATCAAAATTTCTATTTTTAAAAAGCATGTGATACACTACTCATCAGGCTGCTCACAAAATTATGTCCTCTGTATGTGGTTGATTGCTTGGCATGAGGGGCATACAGAAACAAGATAACATCTGTGCATGGGCAAATGCCTAATAGTCACTATATACCGACAGAATCAGCACAAGAGCAGTAAAGATCAGATGCTGCTTCTGCTCTGATGAGAAGAATCTGTTTGCTCATTCTTCTTTATTTTTTGGTCTGAAGCTGCCATTACTGGAGAAGAAGCAAAACAAAATCTCACACTAGTAGCCCAATGCTAAATCATGTCCTCCCAGTCACTGTGCTGTTGTCTTACATACTAATCAAAACTGACTCTGAAATGATCCCCAATTTTCTGGGGATGTGGATCAGTCCTCTCTAATGGAAACATTCTTGGTCAGAAATCTAAGAGGACCTGAGCTTCCTATTCTATTTATTTATGTCCTGGTGTTCCTGCAGCTTGCTCTTGATTCCAGCTCCAGCTTGGGCAATGCTGTACATGGAAAGGAATTACCTTCTGTTCCCACATTGCTGCACATAGAAGAAAGAAAGTAGTACTCGACAACAAACTGCAAGTAACATTCCTACCTGCCACCTTGTCTGAAGTATCATTGCTCATTTTGCCTTTGTTCTCTTTGCTATATTTGTGATGAGCAGGATGGTTTGGAGGAGTGGTAGGGCAAAGAGATGTAGCTGTTTGTCTCCACTGGAGTCCAACCAAGAATTCAGCTCGAGAGTTTGAAGGACGGAAACTCCTGGAGGAAAAATTGCTAGAAACTAGCTTAACTTAAAACTCTTTAAAACCCATTTTAAAACTTGGTTGTACATCCAGGCCTTCCCTCCAATTAATCCCTGATTCTTTTCTATTTTCTCTTAATTTTCTTTTTTACTGTAATTATCATTGAAGGATTATGTATATTCTTGTGTTTTATTTTATATTGGAACCCGCCTAGAGTGGACGAATAGTCCAGATAGGCAGGGTATAAATAAATAAATAAATAAATAAATAAATAAATAAATAATAAATAAATAAATAAATAAATAAATAAATAAATAAATAAATAAATAAATAAATAACTTAGCTTTACATCTTGAAGGTAATGCTGTACTATTGAATGTTGTATATTAATATATTTCAATTTTACCCTATACTCTGAGGAGCTTTGGGTCATATATACTGCATAGCTATCAATTATTTGTAATAGGATAGGCTGAGGGGGTGAATGGATCAGAGAGACTCCAAAAATTTCACAGTTGAGAAGGATTAGAATCATGTTCCTGATCTTGGCCTGACACATAGACCATGTTCAATTTCTGTTTACCTCAGGATTTGAAACGAGATATTGTGAGCATGTTGTTTCCTTCTCCCTTCTCTAGTTCTAGCCATCATTCTGTTTTTTAATTTTATTTAGTTAATTTTTTTGTACGCAGAAATACACTGAGTTTGGTGAAATGAAACAATACTTGAAGGTAAACCAAAATGGACACTAAAAGCAACAAGTCCAAATAATCCTGCTCAATAAACTGAAACATCTGGGTTATCTTCAATAAAGCTGAAGATAAATGAGGCAGCGGATCACCTAATCATTAATTGTACAAAATTAACTTCCTAAGTGAGGTCCAGAATTTCAACTGCTTCTGTGGTTTACCTACTGGCTCAATAAGTAAAACCATTTTCTGATTTCACTGTATTCTGAGCTGGTTCCTGACTGCAGTTCTTTGGAGTATTATTAGAGAGGTTTTGTCTCGGGTTTGACGATAATCCGAAAGAGCAAAGATGAAATTCAGGTTAGAGCTGTTGCAGAACTGATAAGGGCAGTGGTGCTCTGTTTCAGCCGGTTGCTTCATGGTGTCAGATGTGTTGGTTTTCCCAGAGATTTCTGTGACCCTATTGACTATGTGCCTGTCAGTATTTGCCACGTTTGCTTAAAAGTGCCTGTATGTTGAAAGAAGAGCAGGTGGTTAATCCTTCCCCTTTCCCCTCTTCCAGGCAGCTCCTGGTGTTGTTATAGGACACATCCTATCATTGGTATAGCTTCCAGCATGGCTGGTTTGAATATCTCTATAGCTTTTTTCTTCTCCATTGTAATCCTCTGTGAGGCAACCAGGAAGATCTCCAAGAGAATTTTTCCACTGAAGATGTATTTTTGTCTAGCTGGTGAACTGACCAGCTCATTCCAGATGTGTGCTTGCTTCCTTGAATTGAAGATGCTAAGAGAAATTGGTCCATGGAGTGGTGGCTTTGGCCCAGATGTGAGCCTGACTCTTCTGTTTCTCCTCTTCTTGGTTCATGGTGCCTGTTTTGATGGAACTTCTGCCAATCCTTGTGTCTCAGTCCAGGAGTTTCTGACTTTAGAATCTTCTTTGTGGGTTACTCTTGCCAAACTCTTGTCTCAGTTTATGGGGATGGAAGCAGCATGTGTTTTCACTAAGCAATATTGGTCCAGGGAACTGACAGACTTCCACACTATACAAAATTTAATTGCTCAAGACTGTACTTCGTCTCTCAGTGCCTCTGTCTCCCATGGTATCTTTGTTGAAGCCTTGTGCTCATTTCTTTTCCATCTTGTGACTCTCCGATTCCAGGCCAGTTTTCCTATGCACAGAGTCCCTATCGTAGCACTCACTGTTACTGCCTTGACCTATACAGGTAAGGATTTTCATCTAGTCTGTTTATCATAAGATATATTTAGCAACCACATGAAGTGTTTCATATATGTTATGCATTTGTATACTCACAGCATGCAACAGAATATAACTGATTTTGGGACATTCTTTTTGTACAGTAACACCAGTGTGAGGTTCAGAGGTGGCCCTACTATTAGGCAGATTTAAACAGTGCACTCCAGGTTGTAGTGAGCTCAGAAGAAGTAGGAAAGTCTGAGGAAAGTAGCAGATGACATCAGTGTCCCTGCTAATCCTAAGGTGCTTGTGTTTTGATGTGCTAACCCAACCTCCACTACCCTGGGTTTCTGGTAAAACATTGCTGGCATTGATATTCTCCAATCCTCTTTTCTCTAAAGACTATAGCCATATAGGTCTCCTTTGTATCCATTCTGCATTGACATTCTGTAGTTCTTGGCTCATGCATAGACATCCTTTGCCTCTTTATTCTGAAGCATTTTGCTCCTATTGGAATCATCTGCCAGTGAGTCCTCAGCCATGCCAGTTTAGTTCTTCTTGTTAAGCTGCCTTTACTATGTCCCTACACTCTTCTGGTGATAAAAAAAATCTTCCATGCAGTTCGAACACAGGGAACCAAGGTAGTAGCCACTGGCCAGAAGGGGTGTAGCAAAGAGGAATGTGATACCAGGGTCTATCTGACAGAGGACTAGGGTGATCAATGGATGTACCTTGTTCTAGAAAGAGAATGAGATGATGAGAAGGCTTCTACTATTATTCGTGGCAGATGTACACAGAGATCAGAAAATTAGAAAAATAGCCAAACAGAGTCTGGTTCCTATTTTCTTTTCTTTAGAGTTCCTAGTTCACACTCTAGCAGTTTAAATGGTGAAATATGTGCAAGATTGACTGCACTCTAAATTAAAATCTTAAAAGCTTGCATTTCAGTTGGTGAAATTCTTCTGCTAAAGCTCAATGTGCTTTATAAATCAAACCAATGCAGTTAGAAATAAGCACCCCCAGCTTTGATGGAGATAGCATTCTAAGGTGACTGTGCATTATAAGACTGCACTTATACTGACCTACCATTTTGAGGATTATACCCTGTACAGTTGCTCTTCTATGAGTATGGATGTGGGGGGGCGTGCTGCCATTGTGTGCTGAAGTGTATATGTTGTCAAGCTGCACTTCAGAATTTATCACCGCATGCTGCTGAACAGACCCCCTTCAAGCCATATAGGTATTTGAAATATTTATTTATTTATATTTATTTAAAATATTTTTACCCCACCTTTCTCCTTGAAAAGGACTCAAGGTGGCTTGCAACAGTGAAAGAAAATACATATTTAAAGTTGAAAACTATGAGTACTGTATAAGTTTAATTTAACTGAGTATAATTGACAAAATATGTTTGTCAATTAGTCAGAAGATGAGAGCTAGTCAGGCTTTTGCCTGCTCACTGCTATACAACTCCCGAATGCTACTCTTTGCCAGGTTTTACCTGTCAGAGTTGCAGCTCAATATTCAACACTCCTGGGTTGTTTTAATTTAAATCCTGCTTCTTATCCTGTCTGTTTACTAGGTCCACATTTTAGAGTATAAGCCAATTTAGAATGAAAAGAGAGGAATTAAACTGTTTGCTTTTCTTTATTTATTTATTTATTTATTTAGATTAAACTGTTTGCTCTTCTTCTGCAGCTGGTCCTTTCACAGGAGCTATTTTTAACCCTGCTTTGGCCTCTGCTGTAACCTTTGCCTGCTCTGGGAATAACTTGCTGGAGTACATGCAGGTATATTGGCTTGCACCCATTACAGGTGAGCTTGCTTCCTAGAGAGTGGGTGGTGTTAACCACACTTCCAACTGGAATTTCTGGATGATCTACTAATGCCTGTACAATCTCAGATTTTAGGTCTGTGCATTTGAAGTTAATCCGAGGATCTAGCTATGTGCTGATGAATTATAATGAATTTCAAATCACTCCATTAAAATTTATTTTTAAAAAATCACAGATGAATTACAAGTCCTGACAGAAGGCTGTCACTCCAATGGTGACATCAACATTTTCTTTTAAGCACTTAAAGACAAAAGAAATGTAGCTGCATTTCCCATGAGCTGTTTCCTAAGTAAAAAAATGAGGATATAAGCATTTCCAGGAAGCTAGAAAATATAGCTGTTCAAGGAAATCTCCAGAATTCTTGAGAAGATAACAAGTTCCATCAGTAATATAGCAAAAAATGCAGTGCTAACTGAAGAAACTTGGGTGTTCATTTTTAGCAGCAGCACAAGTAATACATCAAAAGCCATTTTGGCCCATTCTGGAGTAGAAGAGGTTATTTGCTGGAATATAAGTTACTCAGAAAACTTGGGAATGTTAAAGATATTGCATAAAATTTACTTTGACAGACTATTCTTAACAAAAGAGTCAGCTGGGAAATGGAAATCAGCTAAAGTTTGCCTCCAGCAGTTTCTTTTGCATAAGAATGGTGACATATATGTGAATGACAGTGGATAAAAATGGGACTCACGTCATAAAACGTTGAAATTATTCCGTTCACACAAATATATCAGGTTTAATCTGACCTCAAAAAGTCTCAAGCCTCACTGTATTTTGGAGAAAGAGAGAGAATGCTTTCACTGGCTAGGAGTTAGTGAATTCATTCACACCCTCACTGAACACAACCTTATCTGCCCCCAAATTTGCACTAGTCTGGGGGGAATACCCTAAGTGATTATAACTTGCTATTACTGGTTCTCTTTCAGGCATGCTGGTAGCTGTGTTTGTGTATCAGGGAAACATCCCACGACTCTTCCGGACAAATCTGCTTTACAGTCAAAAAAACAAATATAAGATACCCAAAATGAAAGGTAATCCCGCCATGTCTGGTGACATCAGACAGGGCCAGGCAAAAACAGAGAGGACAATCAGCCACTCAGGACCACCTAGAAGGACAGAATGAAACAAGCAGAAAATGGTGGGTGTGGGGTCCTCCAGTTTCTGTTTATTGGTATGGGGAGAAGGGACCTTAAGCTTCTCTGTGGTCTTTTTGAGGTCACTTGGGAACTGTTCTGTTTGGAGGTGACAAGGACAACTCTCACTTATAAATGTTGGGTGAGGACTCAGGAGATCTGGATTCAAATTCTCTCATGACCATGAAATGCATTGTGTAACCAGCTCTCAGACTAGCCTAGATCACAGGGTTATTGTGAGATACAGCTGGTATATCTCCTTCAGCTCCTTGGAGGAAATATAGAATATCAATGGAATATATTTTTTAAAGTGTAGTTTAATTACATGGTGAAGTGAAATTTGATTGGACTTCAGTGTGAAGGCTTGTATAAATCATGGTTTCAGTAATCCTTATACACCATACATTTCTGTCTTCTTCCTGATCTTATTCCTCTTTGTGATATTCTTCATCCTATGGTGTTCTAATGAACTGTTGGAGCTGTATATTACTGTATATTACAATACACTATTGCTGCCATCCAGAGAAAGCTAATCACCTATATATCCAGTGATATAGTTATAAATAAAAATAGAATCTTGAATGTTCAGATTAATACTTTCTTTTTTTAATAAACATTTTTTGAATGTTCAGATTCAAAATGTTCAGATTAATACTTCTTTCTTTTTTTAATAATTTATTTTTATTTTTATTGATTGCAAGCCAAAAGAAAGAAAAGAAAAACAAAAGAGGGATACACAAAATGTAATATATAACCACAGGCTAGGCATATACATTAACATAAGCTAACTATATTTGGTGCTGGCTCTGATAGGATATACATTCATAAGTAATTTAGATAATAAGATCTTCTGACCATGGAATTATGCTGGGTGTATATTTATCTTTCCAGTCCTGAAGAAGAAATCTTGGCAATGGTAAAGGTTTGTAAGATAAGATCCAGTTGTACTCACCACCAGTTAAGTTCCAAACTTCAGGAACATGGTTTAAAAGTATATGCAGTATATATACACAAATATAAAAGATTTTTTCTGTAATATGAAATCACTTGACATGTCCATATCACATGCCTCAAAAAAGCATTATCTGTGTTGTCTTGCCAGCATTTAGCTTAAGTGACTAATTTCTAAAATAATGGAGTCCAATATGTCCGAAACAGCATTGTTTGCTGAACCATGTGTAGTTTTAGATCTAAATATGCTGAACTACAGCACACATCATCCCCACACTTCAGCCACGCTGCTTGTGGATTCTGGGAGGTATCCTCCAAGGCATATAGAGAGCAACATGTTGGGAAGGGCTGGCAGATTTCAACAGCCAAAAATGGAAAGGTTGCTTAAATGAGAAAGATATTAACAATGTGGGCTTGCAGCATTTTGTTACCTGAAATAGAGCAGCAAACTGGGTACCCACACACCACCCAACTAAAGACACATAGGACTCATAGCTAGCAAAGTTATTTGTGCTCTTGAGGGGTGGGGAATCCTACAGGCACCTGAAAAATACAATAATAAAAAATAACTGTAAGTCTGCTGCCCTTCATGATACCCAAAATCTGCTTCCTGACTTATATACAGTATTTCATTCTGCCTGATGACATGACTGGCCTTGGCTATTAGTCCCACTCTCTACTATTAATCCGCACTGAATGCTTTCTGGAACCTTGCTAAGTGTTGAAAGGCCAACAGATAAAGATCCAGCTGTGTTTCACTTTGCAGGATATTTTATAGCATGGATATTAGCACAGAGAACACAAAGCAAGGAGATTTTGTAGATTTCGAGCTCTGTAAAGGACAAGACATAGATCAGTGCTCTTACAATACTGCATTATTGCAATTGGTCCATATCTATTAATATAATGTTTATATTCTGCACACTTGTGAATTTAGTTCTGTTGATTCAAAAGGACTTACTCTAACAACAATTTACTGTGCTAAGGTGAGTCACGGTTAAGAGTAGGTCCATTTGAATCAACAAAATTTACTGAGGAGTGGACTCACTAAATCTACATAGATTCTACAGGCCCACTCTAGTGTAATTTATTATGCTAAGAAACATAAATTATTTTAATTTTATAATTTGTTGTTTTTTTAACTGTTTTCATATTCAACTTTTAACTATTTTGTTACCTGCCTTGGGTCCTTTTACTGGGGGAATGTCAGAATTTGGATTATTAATTAGCCTATTGCCCACTGAAACTGGTAAAGAAAGTTTGAAGATTTTGAGCTTTTTTGTTTCCTAGAACAGTAGAAAATAAAGACGGCATTAAATTAACATAACCAAGACTCCAGGGAAGTATGAAAATAAGTCCAGGAACTCTGTATTTTGAATAAGCCATTGAGGAGCAGTAGACTAGTAGGTCACCAGATTGATAGATCATCCGTAGACCACTTTCCCCATCTTCAAGAAACAATGTCTTCTTTGTTTTCTTTTCCTTGGCAGTGCTATGTCCTTCATGATGGTTTTCAGCACACTTCCACACACAGAACCCAACTTTAGAGGATATTGTACTGAAGTCTGAATTGTTTCTTTTACCTTACCATGTGCATCACAAATTTCTACTGCTGGATTTTTGCAACCTCACATACTGCCTGTACTTTGTTTGAGCCCAACCTCTCTACTGAGAATTTCTTCACTTTCTGTTGTCTTTTGAAGTCAGTTACAGTATGTTGATAGCTTTGTTAATTGCCTGCTTTATCTGTTCCCAACTGTAATGAAAGAATGGAACATTTTAATTCTTTCTACTATTAATGTCTCAGAGTGACTTATTCAGACTGTGAGTGCTAGTAAATGAGAAAGGAGACTATCTGAGGAACTTGAGGTTATTCTCCTGTATGACTCTCTGTACTTCTGCTGTGTATAAAAAGCAGAATTTTAGCTAGAAATCCAAAACTCTGAAACAATTGCCTGCAATTCATAGTCAGAAGTTCACCAGCCTGCTGCACTCTGTTACCATAACTACCCAAAATTGCTAGAAGTCTGAGGCATTCTAATACTTAACAGCACAATCATGCTGCAATGGCACATGAGAGCTAGTTATGGTGTGCCACAGTTTCCTCCATTTTGTGCCCTACTGGCTTTGCAGGTCAGGCTTGACTGTTTCTTTCTGTCAGTGTATCATTTCTCTCTCACTTCTTTGATGAGAGACATAAATCATACAGCTCGTAGATGGAGGATACCACCAGTGTTTAATGGACTACATATCACCTGTTGTTATAACTTGGCCTTGAATGCATAGTTCTTGCTCAAGGTCGAAGGGAGAAAAAAACAACTTGTGTACTCTACAGAAGTCCTAAATAATTCCCTTCTGACTGAATCTAAGTCCAAGCTGAACTGAAGAGCACTGCTGTGTAATCAGCCACATCCCAAGGGTCTGTTGTTCTTGGGTTTCACAACAGCAGAATACGTGCATAAGAATTATTTATTCTGCATTATTCCTTTCATGACTCATTGGAGAGATCTAATACATTCAGAAAGATCAAAGAAAAGGTGGTCCCTAAGATGACATAAATGTAAGAGTGGGTGATAACTTTTATTGGACCACTAAAAATTAAACAATTCATAAGCTTTTGTGGATAAAATTCCACTTCTTCGGGTTTAGCACAACTCCCCCCCATGGATAGTGCGAGAAAATTGTTGACAAAAGTCCAGAAATGGATGGTACATATATGTGAGAGATGATGTAAGTCCTCATGAGGTTGCTGTCTTGAGTAGCTTTGGTTGGAATGTTTACACTTTTGCTCCTAAGACCAAAAGGTTATTGCCTTCCCCCACTCATACTGCCTGCTTGAAACATGGAGTTTCTTTTTGGCTTATTGGTGTGGGGGAAAACAGCACAGAGACATTTCATGATCCAATAAAGTGTATCATACATTCTTACATTTGTCTAATAAATATGCTTTCCTTCCACATGTGTGTGTCCATTGCCTCATCCCTGTGGCAAAAGAGCCCTTGTCCCTGTGGCAAGAACACACACCTGAGCATGTCAATTCAGAAGTAAACTGCATCAAATCCGGGAGAGCCTCCTATCAAGTCAATAGGTATAGGAGGGCAGCCTTAGTGAAGTTAGAGAATGACTACATTGGCAAATAATATGAGAAATGCTTTTGGATTGGAACAATCAGATTCACATTATATTTCATTCACTACACAATGTACAAGTTAATGCAAACCAGCCTGGAGTCCCTCACTCCCCATCTGTATTTTTCCCCTCTACCACTAGGGCTTCTACTGTTTCTTTGCAGCAAATGCATTCATCTGCTCAAACAGTATAATATCTTATGCTGATGCATACAGTTTGATCCTTCTATGAAGGGGTTTGCCATTCTATTGCAAGCTATTCCACATGCCTACAATAGCAGGGAGTGAAACTGGGGAAACTGACTGCCATTTGAATCCTCTCCTCCCTGAACCTGGTGCCTGGGTCAGCTTGCTTTCCTCTTCCCTTCCTGTTCTGTTTCTCCTTCTCCTCATTCTCCTCATTCTCCTCCTCTTTCTTCTTCTTCTTCTTCTTCTTCTTCTTCTTCTTCTTCTTCTTCTTCTTCTTCTTCTTCTTCTTCTTCTTCTTCTTCTTCTTCTTCTTCTTCTTCTTCTTCTTCTTCTTCTCCCTGAACCTGGTGCCTGGGTCAGCTTGCTTTCCTCTTCCCTTCCTGTTCTGTTTCTCCTTCTCCTCCTCCTCCTCCTCTTTCTTCTTCTTCTTCTTCTTAAAAAAACACCCCAGGAGACCAAAGGGAGAGGGAGGGAGAGAGAGAGGTGGGGAGGAATTTGGTAGTCAACCCTTGTTTTCAGCTGGTTAAGATAGCTGCCAATTTCCTTCTCTCTCTCTGCTGACTTCTGTGTGGTTGGCTAAAGCAAATTTACCCAGGAAAACTGTCTTCCCAGATGTGATTCCACTGTAGAGCCATTTGTATTTTTCCCATAGTGTCGTTACATCCTTAATCCTGCTCTGGATTACAATGTTAGTGAAGTTAAACCTGCTGCTTGCATCTTTTTTGTGACTTAAAATGAATTCATTCTATTCCAGTGTATTCTACTCTTGTGTTGTTCAGATCAGCTAAGATGTCCCAAGCAGTGGTGATGAGAGTACAAATCTCTCTATAAACACTGATCAATGTGGATGTTTTTGAAGCTACAGAACAGTTGTGTATAAAAATGTTTTTCTATTGTAATTTTCCCACCTACAATTCATTATTTTAAAGTATAAGTGTAAACCACACAAACCTATGTGTTCTAAAGCACTGGTTCTTAACCTTGGATTACTCAGGAGTTTTGGACTGCAACTCCCAGAAGCCTTCACCACCAGCTGTCCTGACTGGGGTTTCTGGGAGTTGCAGTTCAAAAGCATCCGAGTAACAAAGGTTAAGAACCACTGTTCTAAAGTGTAGTTACCTGGACATGGGCCCCAATGAACTTCCTGGGACTTGTTTCTGAGTAAACAGGCTTAGGGCTGCATAGAAATCATACAAACTAAATAGTTGGCAGGGCTGGTCCAAAACATTTTGTTCCCTGAGATGAAGAATGAGATGTCACTTCCAATCAGTGTGCAGAAACCAGTGGAGTGTGATTCTCGCTATAAGACACACACAGTAGTAGGGAAATTCTCAAATGCATTGGAAGCATCAGGGAAGCTAAGTTCAGGACAGGGTGTGGAAGAAGACAGCTGGGAGGCTGCTGCCTCTGTCCTCCAGCATCTGTTTTTTGAGGCAGTCTCTTCACTTTGGCTAATGATAGGGCTGTTTCTGCTAAATTCCATGGCCCTCACTTTTGAATTTACATAATTGGGATTGAGTTGTAGTCTTGTAAGGATCCATAGTTAATTATATCCTATTAAGATCAGTTTCCTTAGAAAGGTGCTGCTTTGCATCATGTGTCTCTGTATGCATTGTTTTTTGAAGAGAGACTATTATGTAAAAAGTGTTCTTGTGGTAGAATTAAAAATATACGAAGGATCCATGATGTCTTAAGTCCTGACATATACAATGGAGAAACAGGAACTGGAGTAGCAACACTCACTTTAGCAACCTATCTTAAAAGCAGGACTCATTCTACTACTCTAATTAGGATGTGGAAAGATAGGACTCTTCAAGAGACAAGCTGCAGATTTATTTAAACCAGAGGTTGGTTTAGATATAATGCTGATTCCACCTTACAAAAGTGATATTATTACAGCTGTGAAAATGGAAATGTGTTTGCATGTATCTGCATGAGCATTTGAATGCAAGTGTCAAGGTGGGCATTATGATTATGCTGAGTGGGGCAGCACTCTCCAAAATCAGATATTGGATGCCAAGGAACAGCAGTAAATAGTTATTTCATTTGTTGGTTGTGCATTTTTACTACCATGATGGGAGATGTTCTATAACCAGTCTTCCCCCCCCTCCCCATTCTTTGTCCAGGTCAACAGGCTTGTCCTGATGGTGTAACAATGCAGATTAAAAACTTAACTAAAATGTCTCTTGTTGATTTGTTTTCAAACTGTCCTGCGATTGTATAGCTTTGGCAAACGAGCTGGTTTGCTGAGCCTCAAAGCTTTCTTGGGAAACTGTTTCCTGTATAGGATTTTGCTATACTGAAGTTCAGGTGTCACCAAGCGCCGACACATTTGCTTTGTTGCCTTATCAAGGCCATTTTTCAAGTTGTAGCCCAGGATTTTTGCATTGCCATACTGCAGTGGTGCCAATGACTGGTCCCTAATGTTCTTTGGGGCTATGCTACCACCTTCCTGAAGGCAAACTTTGGCCAGCTGTTCACGTTTCTGCTGCAGTGCCCTCACTTCCTGCTGCATATGCTCCCGGCCAATGTGCCAGTCAATCTTCTCCCAGAAAGTTCTGTTGAAATGCACATAGAGTTCCCAGTCCAGCTTGTTCCAACTCTTGATCTTCTCTGTGGTGTCATCTGAAAGATGGATTTTGGTGCTGTTGTGTCTGCTGTTGAGAGGAAAGGAGACCACGTCATCCAAGTCCCAGCACAGGAGCTCCTTCAGCAGCACCATGGACTCATCAAAGTACTCCGAAATGAGGAGAAGGTCAAATTCTGCCTCAATGTGTCTCAGCATGAGTTGGACATGCTTCACTGAGAAGTTTCCATTGTGGTTAAATCCAAAATCAAATGTCATTAGATTTTTGGCGTAATGGCTATCCTTGGCTGAGGCATTATAAAACTGAGATGTCTGGTCAATAAATTCCTCTAGATTGTTGGCTTTGACAAATGAGGATGTCCCTTTGTAGTAAGTGAAAGAAGATTCCATGAGATGAACTGGATTGCGCAGAATGGCAAAGTAAAATGTAGTGTTTGGCATGACTTTGCCAACCTGGAATTGAAAGCAGAGAGGAAATGAAAGAGAAATAACCTGAAATTAAAATACACTTCTTTCCACTTGTTTCTATAAATCATTTGGCACAATCCTCTTGTCCAGAGATGGGCAACATATGGGCCTCCAGGTGTTTCAGGATTGTAAATGACCCTAGCCAACATAGCGAGTATGGCGAGCGATGCTGGGAATTGTGGTCCTGAAGCATCTGGACGGCCATACCTTGCCTGCCCCTTCCTGTAGCATACCTTAGGTAAATGCTGTGATGTTGTGTTATTTCACTCTTAACCTTGATGTTTATTCCCTCCTCCTCCTTTTCTCATTTTCATTTTGATATCTGGACCGAAATCCTTCAAGACAGGGATTTATCTTCCTGCCCTTTGTAAGGTGCCATTTGCATAGGTATCTACTGTATGACCAATGTTCCCTCTAAGCTGCGCGGCTGCACTGTGCTGGATCGGGGTTGCACAGCCAAGCCAGAGTTGCCACCCATTTGCTTCTGGTTGGAGCCAAAACCCTGTGTGCCTGGGACAGAGCCCTGCCCCAAACTAGCAGAACATTAGAGGGAACATTGTGTATAACACTAGATAATGACCTATTGTACTAGTTAATAACATTACTGATTGATGGAGCGACAGACAAGGATACAGGACACCTGGATTAAAATTCCTTTTCTGATATGGAAACTCACTGGGGATGTGGAACTGATAAAGCCACTCTTTAAGGGTCTCACCCTGAAAGTCCTATTAGGGTTGCCATAAGTTGGCTCTGAATTGATGGCACATAACAACAATATCATCAATATTTTTGGAATTTTTTTGCTTTGTCCCAAAAACTCTGAAACAGTGAGAGATATAACCAAGATACTTTTGCATGGATACTATTCCTCCCTCCCCAACTTAAATAAGTGGGTGGTTATATCTTGAAATTAGTTTCCCCACAACCTCTCTTTCTTTTATCATGCAACAATGTGTACTGTAGCAAATATTTTTAAAACACTTAAAATAATTTATTAAAATAGATGTAAACTGCAACAATAGGATAAATATGTGAAGTCTGATATCCCCATTATGTAATTAAAGTGGTCCATTTCCTGAGTCAGTGGGAATGAGTAGTTGGCTGAATACTGGGCTGAGTGAGTATTAGGAGGAGGAGAAAAACAGACCATGTAGACAAAAAATCATGTTAGGGGAAGAAAAGAGTTAAAAGTCCTGAGCTGGAAAGGAAGAGCAACTGATGGGTTTCTAAGCTGGGCAAAGCCAGATGTAACCAGTCATGATTAAATTATACTTATGAAATGAATATTTCACAACTGTGCATTAACTTGTTTAAGACAACAGAGATTGTCTTAAACAGAGATTGGCTCCCAGCTCTCAAAAATACAGCATGCAAAAGGTCAACGAACTCTACCCAGCCACAAGGACAGGGGATCACTACACACAAAAGACCAGCTAATGACATCCATCAACCACAATGACAGATAATCTCTTCTTCTTAGCAGAACAATACGCCCACAACAAGACACACTAATCACCCATCTACAGAAAAAGACAAAAGCCTATCTCAAAGCCATAAATACTGCACTCCCAAGCCAACTATACCAGAGCACAGAGTGCTGTCCTCTGAAGATGCTGGCCACAGAGACTGGCGAAACGTTAGGAAGAACAACCTTCAGAACACAGCCAAAGAGCCCGAAAAACCCACAACAACCACAACAGAGATTCCACTGTGAAAATGTGTTGTGTATGCCAGAGATGTTCTCAGTGGTAATCTTTTTCACCCTGACACCCTCTGAAAGTTTTGTACTACACCTACCATTGTCACCAGCCAACACAGAGTATAGTAGTAGTAGCATTGCAACAGAGAGTACCTGGAACATTGCATCTGAAAAAATGGATATCCTGAAATTAAGTATGCCCACCCCCTAGTCTTTCTCTCCAAGCCCTTACAACTCCCAGCACATCTCCCTTATTGCTGGAGCTTCCCCCTCCCTTCCCTACATGTGAAAGTAACCTGTTTCCTGCAACTATTTTTTATAGCTTTAGTACTGGAGCAAGCAAGATTTCTGGCCCTTACCTCTGGTTGAAAGAATCTCATGTGATGACACATGATGTTAAACTGGGAATCTTTGCCTGGAACAAATCCTTCTACAGCTGCCACTGTGAAATAATGGGGGTAACGCAGCTGACTGGCGCCATTGATTGGCAAAGCAAAGGTGAGGTTGTGAGTCTCACCGAAACGGAACAAGATGTTCATCACAGTGCTGCTGGCACTCTTATGCACTTTAAGGAAAACGACATGAGTCCTGGGCTTGCATGTTGCATCTTGGGAGAAGGCAGAAAGGCTTGTGCTGAATGTTCTTTGACCCTTTGGAAAACCCATTTTTTCTGGTTGAGTTGGCTTGTTGGCTGCCTTTGCTGAACTCACTCTTGTTGGCTTTTTGGTGACTAGGACAGCAAAAGACTGTGACTTAGTTGTACTACTGGGAACATGGATTTTCCGTGGGCTTTGAACATCATTTGAGTTTTGGTCATCTGCAGTGACTGTTACTGCAGATTCTGTTCCTTTAACCAGGGACATTCCAGGCTTTTTTCCTGAATTTTTTTTCATATTGCCAGCAGTTGTCACCATTACCTGGTGTCTTGTGGGGATCTTTTTGGTGCTGTGGTTCTTTTGGTCTTCCCACTGTTTTTTTATGTGGGGCATGTACACCATCTCAATGCCTTCTACAATTGGCTTTCCTAAGAATTCTTCTTCTGTATCCAAACTGGCTTCCAGCAGTTTGGTTTTGTTGAGTGCCTTAGTCAGTTTCATGACATGCCTGTCTTCTTCTGCAGTGTTGGGCTTCACTCCCACTCGTTCCTCCCTGCTTTGTGGAGTGCTCCTTTGAACATATTCTAAATGAAGCTGAGCACACTTTGGGCTTATTTGAACCTGGAAGGAATTCCCATTATTTCTGCCTTCCTGGAGGGCAAACGGTTTCCTTTTGAAATCACACCTGCAATGGCTTGGAAGAATACAACGAGACCATCAGATATGGTTGAAAGGACATCGCCCACTATCACGCTCTAAAACATCCAAACATTTTCAATAACACTGTCTACTGTTTATCTGCTATGGATTCATGTTCTTTATTCTATTCTATGGGTTCATCCTCTCTGTCCAATTTACATGCATTTCCCTTTCTTTTCCTTATTGTAACATATGCCCAGAAGAGAAATCACATCACTGTTGTGGATGCTTTATTTTGTTAAGTGTAGTAACAAGGGAATGTGACATCTGTTACATACACATATTCTCAGCCTTCTTCTTCTTACAGAGAGAACACTTTCTGTTCCATCAATCATTCTCTTGCATCCTTCACTCCCAAAATAAACAATTCTGAAGTCAGGTATTTGTCCACTGGATATGATCCAAGCTACATGTGATACTTCCCTTCCAGTGCAAATATCAAAAAGGTGTGAGGAAAAAGTTTCACTTGGATTGTGGCAGTGTGGAAAGTGAAAATATGTCACCACTGTCCCAAGAGAAGAACACCCTCCATTGTGGCTGATTTTAGCAACTTAGAAGTGCCAGCGGGGGATTCTTGCCCAATGCAAATAGCAACATCAAAGGAACTATTTTTATTCCAGTATCACGGAGGGAAAGGGAAAGGTGAGTTCTTCTCACCACTGGGTACAGGATTTATAAAGTTCAGCCATCCAGCAGGGACATGGATGAAACGGAATTGCTACCATGCACCCCCCCAAAAAATAAGACCCTGTCTTTTTTGGGGGGGGGGCACGGTAGCGATTCTGTTTCATCCATGTCCCTGCTGGATGGCTGAACTTTATAAATCCTGTACCCAGTGGTGAGAAGAACTCACCTTTCCCTTTCCCTCCGTGATACTGGAATAAAAATAGTTCCTTTGATGTTGCTATTGGCATTGGACAAGAATCCACCGCTGGCACTTCTAAGTTGCTAAAATCAGCCACAATGGAGGGTGTTCTTCTCTTGGGACAGTGGTGACATATTTTCACTTTCCACACTGCCACAATCCAAGTGAAACTTTTTCCTCACACCTTTTTGATATTTGCACTGGAAGGGAAGTATCACATGTAGCTTGGATCATATCCAGTGGACAAATACCTGACTTCAGAATTGTTTATTTTGGGAGTGAAGGATGCAAGAGAATGATTGATGGAACAGAAAGTGTTCTCTCTGTAAGAAGAAGAAGGCTGAGAATATGTGTATGTAACAGATGTCACATTCCCTTGTTACTACACTTAACAAAATAAAGCATCCACAACAGTGATGTGATTTCTCTTCGGGGCATATGTTACAATTAGGAAAAGAAAGGGAAATGCATGTAAATTGGACAGAGAGGATGAACCCATAGAATAGAATAAAGAACATGAATCCATAGCAGATAAACAGTAGACAGTGTTACTGAAAAATGTTTGGATGTTTTAGAGGGTGATAGTGGGCGATGTCCTTTCAATCATATCTGTCCACTACAGACATCTGCCCTGTTGTTGTTTTTGAATGTAAAGACTCCTTCTTCAGGCATGACCCTGACTGCTGCTTTCCCATCACTATTAGCAGCAAACCTTGCTGTTAGGTTGGCTCAAGGAGGAGAAGACAATTGCTATTCCAGCAGTGTAAATAACCTTCCTGGAACAGCAGTACCAAATAGAAACTGATGAAGATAAGTAGGTGGGACTCCCCTATACTCCTTCAGACCCAATCCAGATCATGGGTTCCTTTTCCCTACATCAATTACTAAAATAGAGGTGAACCTCTGATCTGGCAAAAAGTGGGAGTTGGTGGGAGGTACTGGTGATGTAAGAATGTCAGGACTCTATTCATAAAAAAAGAGAAAATTGATCCACCCGCACGAGCCAGGAGGTGAGGCTGAGGAGCCTGATGCCAAGAGAGGCCCGGAGGGAAAAGACGCGGAACCGGGCCTTCTCAGCGGTGGCTCCTCGCCTTTGGAACAATCTCCCTCTTGAGATTCGCGCGGCCCCTACGCTGGGTACATTTAAAACACAACTAAAAACATGGCTTTACATCCAGGCCTTCCCCCCCGCCAGCATTTAAATTGATTTGATTTGACTTTCTTCCTTTTCTCTATTATTTATCATCTGTTGGTATATTGTCAGTATTGTTAATAATTGATGTTTGGATTTTGTATTTTAATTGTATATCTTTTGTTGTTAGCCGCCCAGTGTGGTATGATATACCAGATGGGCAGGATAAAAATCAAATAAATAAATAAATAAATAAATAAATAAAAATAATAAATAAAGTGGGGGCATAATAGAGGAAGAAGTAGACCTCATTTGGAACGTTGTATTTGCCTGTCTGTTTGTCTTGTCCAGGTACAGCCAGGTTATAGATATGTGGTGGAAATGATTCAACTCACTCATATTTAAATTACTCCAATTACTATAAATGGAGAATTGACTACAATTTATCCTACCTTCTCTGTTTGGGGGGGGGGAGGACCCCACCAACAGACATGATAACCAACAGAAATGAAGGGCATAGCACCTAAGTCTTTCCATGCTGTTTTGGCACCCAAGGTAAGAAAACCCCACAAACTCTCCCCCACTGCCTGGAATAAAAAGTCAGTAATGGTAATGTAAAAGCACGGAAGATATGTTTGAGCAGAGAGTCATGCAGGCAAATGAAAAACAAGAGCAAATGAAAGAGAATCAGAAGCACAAAGAGAGAGCCAGAAATGTTCGGTTCAAAGAGCTAGCCTGGTACTGTATGTATTTTGAGAAGTTCAGTCTGCAACAACAAGAAGAAGAAGCTGCTCAGTTTTTTCCCCCCAGGGATGGTTATATGCAGCTGTATCTATTGCACAATTTCAAGCCAGCATATAGCCACTGGAATTAGCTAATGACCATACACTGGTCTCAGGAAATCATACAGTGGTCTCAGGAAGCAGGTTTGGGATGTTATGAAAAGTCAGCTAATTGTTAGCTATTTGATTGGTGGTTACCATATTCTTACTACAAGACATGGAACAGGTGCACTTTCTATCCAAATATGGGTGCAGCTGTGCAATCAACTGAAGCTGATAGAAAAAAATGCTCCTGGTCAGATGAAATCTGAACCTCCATTGATAGGGCTGGATCTAGGAGCTCCCTCAACCTGCATACCTGGCCCTTCAAAGGGGATGTAACCCCTTCTAGACTAGGTGAAAAATGCTCTAGCTGATCGGTGGAGACACACAGCAGGAGAACACCCTCCCCTTTATTGGGATTGAGTTTCAGTTTATTGGCCCTCATCCAATCCATAATCTTGGATAAGCAGCAATCTAGAACTTGCATCACCATCAGATGAAGAAAAGGAGAGATGCATGCCATCAGCATATTGATGACAGCACACGCCAGGTCTCCAGATGACTACTCCAAGCAACTTCATAAAGATATTAGAAAGCATTGGAGATACAATTGATCCCTTTGGAACACCATAAACAAGTACCCAAAAGGGTGGATGTGGCATCTCCAAGCATCACCATCTGTGACTAGCCTTTGAGAAAGGAGTGGTACCATTGAAATAAAGTGCCTACAATTCCTTAACTCTCCAGCCATCTCAGGAGGATAGTGTGGTCAACAATATCAAAATCTACAGAAAGATTCAGGAAGACAAGAAAGGTTACACTCCCCTTCTCAGGTTCCCTTAGGAGATCATCTTGCAGGACAATCAATGCTGTTTCATTTCAGTGGTGCAGCCTAAACCCTAATTGAAATGAATGTAGACAATCTGCTTCTTCTGAAGACCCTTGCAGTTGATCAGCCACCACTTTCTCAACAGAAAATAAATTTTGACATGTCAATAATAGTTTATGTTGCCAGATGGTAAATTTGTTTGTTTTTTTTTTTGAATGGGTGCCAAGAGGACATTCAGCCCTCTTGCAATGATGAAATAGTAATATGCATCATGCATTCCACTATGGCCCCATTAGGCAATTTCAACAGCTATGAAGAGCAAGGATCTAGAGAAGAAATAGTAGCTTTACAACATGCAAGGGCCTTGCCCACATTATCAGGCCATAAGAACTGAAGTTCATACCAGGCAGCATACCAGATAGTGGTTTTGACATTTTATTTAAGACTACCAATTTAAACAGTATGAACTCAGCAGCTGGACTGCATTCAGTGAAGAGTGATTGGTACAGAGAGATTGATAAGATCCTCACCATATAAGCACGGAGACAGCATTGGTTGCCCTGCAAGATGACCTCTTGAGGGAGGCCGACAGGGACAAAATGTCCTCCTTGGTCCTCCTTGACCCTTCTGGTGGTCAGGCTTTGGCCTGGCTCAGATCCTTCCTGTAGGATCATCCTCAGAGAGTTCAGTTTAGGGACATGTTGTCCGCTCCATGGACTCTCAATTGTGGAGTCCCATAGGGGGTCAATCATCTCCCAATGCATTTAATATCTATATGAGGACGCTGGGGGAGGTCATCAGGAGTTTTGGAGCTCTGTATCACCAATATGCGGATGTCTCTCAGCTCTATCTCTCCTTCCATCCTTCTGCAGTGGATGCTGTCCCCATCCCTTGAGTGTTGCCTGGATGCGGTGCTGGGATGGATGAGGGATAACAGAGTGAGGCTGAACCTGGACAAGATAGAAATTCTGCAGGTGGGGCCCCCTAGTGTCTGTGGTCTGGGTGCCTCCCTATCCTTCATGGGGGACACACTCTTTCCATGAAATATGAGGTTTGTAGCTTAGGCATCCTTTTGGACCCATTGCTATCAATGACATCACAGTTAGTGTCTGTGGTCCGATCTGCTTATTTCCACCTAAAGCTGATCACCCAGCTGTGTCCCTACCTTGACACCCGGTGCCTCACCATGTTGGTCCATGCGCTGGTAGTCTCGAGATTAGACTGTGGGTAGAGCTGGGAATGTTTAGCCTTACAAAAAGAAGGTTAAGATGGGACATGATAGCCATGTTTAAATATTTGAAGGGATATCATGTTGAGGAAGGGACAGG